TAAGTAGTGTTCAATACCGTACTCATTAGTGTTCTAATTCAAAGCCGTGTTGTATTCCAATACAGCTCACACAGCGAACGGAATTCGAACACGTGGATGACGGCATTACGTATCAGTAGAATTTGAAGCACGGACGGAATACGCCTCACCATGTGCCGAATATTGCCACACACAGTGTTGGAATATAGGGATTCGGTAGGTTTGCATTCTAAAGGCTTTTATATAAATATGGCAACATTTTGTGACGTTTCATTGTTGCTGGCGTGTAGTACGGTGTTTTGCGAGTCACAGAACTTGAGTAACGCATACGGTTATTTTTTTATAGTTTTTCATTTCTCGATGCGTCCTTAATGTGTCGGAATATACCGCATTTACCCTACACTCTGCACACTTCAAATGTTTAAAATTGAATTTTATTTCAAGTGTCCCTTTTTACAATGTTTCAAGATGAATTCAGGAACCTTTTATATTGCATCTAGCACCTTACAAATAGCATATGGAATTTTTTTATCATGCTATTCAATAGCCCTTGCAAAGAGCTATAAAATGAGCCTAAACTTGTTTGTGAAATGTTTCATGGTGAGAAGTTATTAACAAAAAACGCTCAAAACCGTCTCTTTTTACCCCGTTTGATGGTAGTAGCCAAGCATCATGTGTGATGATGTGTCTCACTAAGTCTCTGAGACTTGGGCTAAAGATGCATACCTTCCAACTTTTATAGGCTATCAATGTCTTTGCGCTAATAGAGCTGCACATGAGGGAGGTGGCTTCACTGGCTTGTCTTAAGTTGTGTATCCTATTTCATTAGTCATTCTGCTTCCAGCAGATGAATTTTTATTACTTCCGGCCTCTGGGATGGCATTTTGGAAGTACAGGCTGTAAAGTTACAATTGGCTTCAGAAAATTACTTCTCCATCCTTAACCTATATAATCCAAATGCAGCAGTTACCATACAAGAATTTACTCATTACACTAATCAGCTTACCCCTCCGTACCTGCTAACTGGGAATTTTAATGCCCATTCTCCCCTATTGTCCTCTATTTGCCACCAATCAGATTTTACTGGGCAATCTCTTAAGCAATTCCTACTATCATCCCACTGTGCAGAGAGTGGATGAATATTGCAAGATCTTTGGCAACGCTCCAGTAGCAAAATTTACGCCTTCAGAAGATCTTGCCGACACATTTAGATTGAAATTCTTGCATTTAATATATTTGTCAGTCTTCGGCCAACTATTTAAAAAAAAGTAAGGTTTCCGATATGTTGGATGGATCAGAATGCAGTGAAGCTTGTCCAGAAATCAGTTGCGATGAGTTCCCGCCAAAAAAATGTAAACATCAAGCTTATGATTACGTAGTTGCGGTCACATTAGAGCGGTAAGACTGCATTATCACATGTTCAGTTGACACTTACTGTACAATTGGACTGTTTTTAGGGTAAAATTAGTTATTTGGGGTAACACGTGTATGCAACCTTGTAAATAAGTTCGTGGCTTGTAAATAGTTTTTCTAACTCAGCGTAAATGGCGACGCATCTTAAAATTACCCGGTGATGCTTAGGGCTTAAAAACCCATATATTGGTGACGCTGCATCCACCCTCTGCGCCCTGGCTATCATCCTTGATTCTGTCAAATGAATTAGACTTTCATACATATATAGACATATGGACAGGGAGAGGCTGCTGCCTGGATTTGTTTATTTTGTCATCAGATGTTGCTCCATGTCTATACTTCCATTTAAATTGCATTAAAGATGTTGGCAGTGACCACTATCCAGTATCAGCATCAATTATCAACAATTCCCCTTCATGTTCTTTCATTGCTACCAGTTCCATGGTAGAAGATAACCAGTGAAAGTTTGAAGAATATCTCCAAAGCTGTTGCTTCATCCACCATGCTACAACCAACATCTGTCAAAGACTTAAAAGTTGATGACTTAATATTACCACTCGAATTATTGATGCTGCATCTGCCTGCATCCCCCAAACCACAGGAAAGCAGTCAGGTTGCATGACTTCTCCCTGGTGGGATCAAGCTTGTTGAGAGGCAATTGGAAACAGGCGCCGTGCTTGGAGATATCTGGAAAGACGTCCTATGCAGGCTAATTTAATGGAATACAAACATTGTCAGGCTATAGCCCGTAATGTTATTGTGAAACATAAACGCTCTTTCAAGCGGGAATTCCTCTCCAAGATTACATATACCACTCCTATTGGGAGAAAGATACCCTTAATGCGGTCTTGTTATATCATGCCTGCTTACCGTGTAGTGGAGCCCCCGATCTCTGCCACGTCTACATCGTGGGGGTACCCTGGCCTACGCGTCGGCCGGATGCCCGGCATACTTGTGGGCCAGGCCCCGCCCGGATCGCTAACGGACAGAGGCTCCTTTCTTCAAGAAATACAAAGAAAGGGTTATTTCATGATACAAAACACAGTTAAACCAGTAGAAATATCAGTTGATATTTTATCGAGATATTTTAAAATATCAGTTGATATTTTATCAAGATCAAACTGTATAGGCATTAAACTAACCTTTGTAGGCATTAGCAACTTTGCAGGCAAATTTTCTAATTTTTGCTGAGCTCTCGTTTACTCAGCACACACTTGCTCACCAACAACTTCCTCAGTTGTAGCCCTCAACGTCGTCTTGGCTCCACAAGCACAGGTGGCACCTGGTTTGTTGCCCAGCAACCCATCAAACGAAAGATCAGGTAGACAAAGAGCCTCCACTCTACCGGTGAAATGTGGACAACAAAGATCGGTCTTTGGTGCATCAACTGAATGATCATCAGCAAAAGTAAGCTTCACAGTCTTACTTGAAATGCTGCTTTTGGGAATAAGAAAATGCCTGGTGACAACAGCAGTAGCTCCTGTGTTGCATAGAACTTTGACGCTCTTGCCATTACAAGATCCATTAGAAATAGGGAGATAACTATTATAATCAGGATTAGACAAAGATGCATTCACATTAAAAGTATAATCCTTCCTGCTTAGTTTCACCTCTCCAGATTTCTCATCAGGTAAAGACTTTCTCCGGGCAAAATCTGGAAAAATGACCATTTGACCCACAAGTAAATCACTTCTTTTGGTTAGCGTCATTAGATGCTGCACCATGCGTCACACTTTGAATCAAAGCCACGTTTTTTGGTATTCCACCTGATTTAAATCTACAAAATTTAGCAATTCATCCTGGCTTGTTGCATTGCAAACACACAGTTGATATTTTTTCATTATCATCAGAACTGGCAGATTTAGTGGGCAATGAATAGCTTGGAAGTTGTCTGCCATCTCTATCACTGAATCCAAATTGCGTCTGAAGATGTCACGCTTCTTCAAATACTCAGCCAAAGTGCATTCAGCAGCACGTAAAATTTGGTCTTTCAATAGCAGTTCCTCCATCTTCTTCACATTGTTATTCACCTCTGCAATCTGGCACATCTTACTGAGACTTTCTCGTCAATAAAGTACAAATTGTCCAAATGAACAACTCTTTTGCTTGGTATTCCTGAATCTGGACTGGTAGTCATAAATTGTATAACTGAAGGTCTTTACAATCTGGTGCTTAATTTCAGCATACGTAGACTCCAACGGTAACATACTGAGGAAAAGACTAACCTTGGTGTTAACAAAACCATTTAACAAGTCCATAATAGCGATGGTATCACTCTACTGATTGACTTCTTTAACCTTCTCAAAAGTATTTAAATAAATAGATGTCTTCTCCATCCTTGTAGCTGGCCAACTTTATGACAGATCGGCTTCCAGAAGAATGAATTGGATTGGAGTTAGCTTGTAATTTTGCAAGCTCAAGCTGAGCTTCACGTGCCTGCCGCTCGTATTGCAGTTTGAGCGCTCTTAGTTCACATTTGTGAGCTTGCTTCTCTCTCAATCTCTTGCTCTGCTCTCTCTCTCTCGCTCCTTCCCGCCTTAATTCTAATTTATGCAACTCTCGTTTTTCCTCTTCGGATCTACAATATTCCACCTTACGTTCTTTAACATAATCACGCAATTCTTGTCCCTCAAATCTTAAGTTTTCCCGTCCATGATGAAAGTTGAGTCTACTGACATCTTGAAATTTACTGCAATAGATAGCAATTGAAATTAAACAATAAATTGAGTTAACTTTAACAAGTCCGCCCGTGACAATTTAATGATGCCTGACCATCCCCATACTGGCCAACAAAATGTGACAAACTAGTCTCAACTTCCAGAATAGCCAATCGTGTCACTTTAAAAGTTCGGATGGTCTAATTGCCACTTCCACCAATGACCGGAAATTAAATGCAAATTCCCTATTGGCTTGATTAGCAAAAGCTTGGACTGAGCAGATTGATAACTCTCAAAAGTAGCTTGATTCAATGTATTGATAATAAACAGCAAATTGAAACAAAACAAATCAAAGCTATTGATTTTACAGAGATGCGACAAGTCCTAAGCAAATTAACAAGTTGAATGCGGAGAGTCGGGAGAGAGCTAAAAGTGAGGAGAGCAAACTGCGAGGAGAGAGCTAGAGCACAGAGATCTGAGAATAACGCATGATCCAAGAATCATTGGTAGAAAAAGCCGTTTTCCTTTTTTTCATTGGATAAATTGAGAAAATGCCATAAGAACTTGAGAAATTGGCAAGATTCAAGAGCCAATTCATGTGTGGTATCTGAATAACTTTCCGGGTAGGCAATCAAGCACTTCTGTTAACAATTAGAAAGTAGGTGATTCATCTAGTGGAAATCTTGCAGCTCTAAAAATAGCAGGAAAGCTCTAGTTTGGGCTAGAGAGGTAGATACTTTTGCTTTAGGTTCATAATACCTGTTTAGGCTCTGCCTCTCATGTATACTGTTGTCAATTGTGAAATATTGGGATTGTGTAATTTTTAGTATCCATTAAAATTTTCATTCTCATCTTAAATCGCATTTCACCGTCGCAAGCTGCAGTCATGCGTATATTTCATGCCAGCAGCTGGCATAGAATGTACCTATCTATTAGTACAACAATTTCTTTCACACATTTTATTATAATTATACTAGTTTACATTTTTCAGTAATTAATCCATTTAATTTTTTATAGCAAATTCAGTTAGCTGCAACTTGTTTATGATGACAGCATTCAAGAAAACCATATTGAGCACTTATGAGCCTACAGTTGCTGCTCTTGGTGTGGATCAAAAGATCTGGTCCAATCTCAGTGTAAGCATCAGTCTTATTTTTTATCTAAGTATTAGAGAAAGTAATAGATTTCTCTAATACTTTTTTCTAGCTAGTATATTTCTGATAAACATTTCTGAAAGCCAGAGAAGTTCCCAATTAATGCTGACCTCTCTGCTCCTTGCTTTTCAAGCAGAATTTTCTATGCCCATTCCCTACTCAAATTAGTTTCTCTGACTGGTTGTATTAAGTTTTGATTAACATGTACATAGTATCTTGTATTTTGATTAGAATGAAATGGTTTATATTTTTATTTTATAATGATGTAATGAAATGTTGATGTTGAAAAGTATGTCTTGTGTCAAAATTGCCATTTATGTCTATCTCATGATTAAATTTATCCAGCCTAATCATACTTTATGAGTTTTATGTTGTTTACAAGCTTTTAATTAAACTTCTGTTTTTTTCAGAAACCTGTCATTGTACGTGAATTTACAGAAATCAACTATGTTCATGCCTGCCCATCGAGTTCATTTTTGGCTGCTGTATCAACTGGATATAAGGTCAGCCTGCCTTCTGTTCAATATATTAGATTTTAGCTTGTGGTCAACTAATATTTTTAACTATAAAATTTTACTTGCCAAAAAATGCTTGGCACAGGGTTTGAGTTTCAGGTCACCAGTAATAAAAATTATGTAATTGTTTATCTGCCAGCTATTACCGGTATATTCTTTCAAGTATTGTTGTTACATTCATTCATTAACATGAAATTTTATTTTCTACAAATTCTGTCTTAATTTTTGTGAACCTTCATTAGAAATAAAATCACAACTCATTGCATTTTGAATTTCAAAAATTATTGAAAGGCATTATACTATTCTTGTAATCAATTCCACATTATATTCAGTTGTTGACAGTTTCAAATTGAAACTTGGTTAACACATTCTTTACTGGTATTAAAATTCATCTGTCACATAGGCTGGAAAAACTTGTTCCCTCACAATTTTATTCATTACAGGTAATTATTTACAACTGTCGGACAGGCCGGTCCCTATCTACCATCTCCCGCTTCAACAGCACAGTTTACGGTGCAACTTACAGAAATGATGGAAAATTATTTGTTGTTGGATCTGAAGACTCGAGAATCCGACTCTTTGACTGCAAAAACAATGATCAACTTAGAGTTTTCTATGGTCATGAAGGGTAAGAATTTTTTACCACTTCTTATGGAATGTTGTACAGTTCTTAGATGGGTTATGTAAATGATGTGATGAGTGAGATTTTTGCATCACTCATTAGATTTATTAATCTACAGATGAAGTCGTAATAATGCGCTCTGCCGCATATCAGTTAATCACTGCACTGTTACTTCAGTTTATTAGTTTTTAAAGTAATGCTTAAAGGTGTCTGACAGACAATATTTTTACATTTTACCTAGCACTCGTATATGAGAATGCTTCTTGCTAGAGACATACAGTGACAAACTTTGTGCATCACTTCAATAAAATTTTATGCCTCGCAAAGGCAATTTTGGTGACTATCAACACTATGTAAGTTAAATTAGCTTGTTTTGTACTGTCTTGATTCATCAAGAATGAATGGAGAGTGAAAAAAATTCAGTTCTTTTATCAAATAACTTTATATTTACTTATTTTTAGTCAAGTCCCAGCTTGATATTGGTGCTATGAAGCATAATAATTTAAGTGCCAATATGGAAGAACAGACTCAATTCTTGAGCAGTCATTGAAATGCTGCTCATTGAAACGACAGCTGACAGCAACTTTAATATGAAGTTGCTGTATTCCATTTTATCCATAATAAGTAGTGAGCTAACCCCGGTAATTTGCTAAAATTTATGGCTTCTTGTACGTTATCATCAACAGCACAAGATCCGTGCAGCTGTCTTACTTAGTGTTTTTGCTAGAATCCATTCAATGACTGATCAATATTTGATTCTCTGGGTAGCAACACTAATGATCTTTGCCTTTATTTAGTTTGCATAATGGACATTGAATTTACTTAAGAAAACTACATGTTAACACTGGCTTGTCGGCGCAGTAGATGGCCCAGTGCACTTATTGCCTTGGAATATTTTGATTTTGTTCAGCGAACACAAAAAAATCCAAGTCGGATAAAGTCGCTATGATCTTAGCATTCTTTTGGTTTGCATCATGTGTATCAACTGCCACTACAACAGGATTATGTGTTATTGCTACATTTATATGATCCTTGTGTTCATTGCTGTTGACGAGAAAATTGCAATCATTGCGGCGCAAAAACCAAGCTTGCATAAGGGTATCTTGGTGGTAAAGATCTTCGTTCACTTTTTTGGTTTTGTGATGAGGCTATTGATGGAAATAATGGACTTCTTGCCAGTGCTTTGTATCCTCTATTGGGAGGTTTTTGTCAGCTTGCTACTAAACAGATTATGTACGTTACAGTCAGCCACAAGAGTTACATGCATGGCTGCTGCCCTAATTGTGGACTGAATGGCCATTTAAGTGCTGTGCAGAAGAAGTCTCTTGTGCGTTAAAACTAAATATGCAGGCCACTGACTTCAATGAAGCCCTTGCCTATAGTGAAGGACAGACCAGTCACAATATTATCAAACATAAAATCCTCTAATAAAAAGCGCCGCAAATGAGCAACTGATTCAGCTTAAAACTTTCAATTGTTGGCATTATATTCACTTGCCAACAGATGTTAGGACTGTAGAATGCTGTGTGTTGGAGGAGGGAGAGTTTAGAGGTTGGGAGAAACAGTTGCAATTTTCGGCTTGACCATGCCTATTCTACTATGTTCACTAAACACGCTCGTACGTTTTTAACTTATTTTCACTTAGAACGAGCAAAATGAAGTTACAAATGGAATAAAATAATTTTTTGATTTAAAGACACCGAATCTTGCCAACCTAGTGTTCTTCAAAGCTGCTGTAAAAGACCGCTTCCTTACATTCAATTGTCCTAAAGAATATCCGAGGCATTTTTATACAACTTCATAGCATATGAGATAGTGTGCATTACGAAATCGACATCACCTCATTCACCAGCAATGAAGCTTTTGGTTTATTTGAAGTTAATCTAAACACGGTTTCTGTACCTTGGATGCTCAAGTCTGTACATAAGCGTGAGTTATTTACATGTTGATTCCTATTTAAAAATATTTGTTTGTCTCGCACAGGCCCGTCCGGAGAGTCAAGTTCATGCCCGACTTCCCCCCAAGACTGGTTTCTTTCTCAGATGACAAGAGCGTGGCTGTTTGGGACATAGCTGAAGAAGCCAAAATTTTAGATTTGAAAGGACATTCGGTAATTGATTTATTTTTATAAATTTGCTTTTCCTGTTCAAATTTCTTTTTTATTTTTCGCTTGAAAAATGAATTTATGCTTCCAAAATGTGGTGCAACGCTAAAAAATCATTTATGAACCACTCCTGTCTCGTACGTTTTTGCATTTTTTCTCTTTTAACCAGTAACTGCATCTAATCTTTAAAAAAAAACCTGGTCGAGAACAATTTTGAAACTTGTAAAAATATCCAAGGCACCAGTGTGGTGATTTTTCTTGAAGTGCTTGATCCAGTAGGTACTTCACATATACTACCATACGTGTACTGTCACTATTTCTGCGCTTCAATTCTGTATGAACATATCTGCAGATTGAACATTTCCAGCTTGCTTCTCAGTATATTTAGTTAACTTTGCTTTTTTAATTATTTAATACAGTAACTCGCATTTTTCATCTAACCCTGCATCCCCACTACAGGATTTTGTTCGTGCTGGGTGCGTGAGCAGAGCTCCTGCGCTAGTCATGAGTGGCTCAGATGACAGAAGCGTTCGTGTGTGGGATACCAGGACCGGCAATTGTGTCTTCAACTTCGACCATGGCACCTCGCATGTCAACGACGTCATTAGCTATGGCGGTGGCAACGTTCTCGCCGCAGCTGGTCAGTTCCTGAAATAGAGACCTCGATCACACCAATCTTGTTATTTTGACATTCTGTTCAATATGAAAAGAAATTCTCATGGTTGTGCAGGAGGGAATGAAGTTCGCATCTGGGACTTGGCTGCAGGCAAGCTGCTTGCCAAGCTGTGCCGGCATCACAAAGACGTGACAAGTCTGGCGCTCGCAACTGCTGGGTCACGGCTCGTGTCAGGCAGTCTGGACCGGCATCTCAAAATTTACGACACCTCCACGTACGAAGTTGTGCACACCATCGAGTGTCCCGCGTCCGTGCTCTCTTTTGCAGTCATGGTCAGACCTTTTTTTTGGAAGAGTTGCTAACATCTGCTTTCGTTGCGAGCTATGACACTAGAATAGTTTGAAATACACGTATCTTTAAGTCAGGAAAGTCCTCACACTACGCTAAAATACTACACTAAAGCATGAATGAAAATACTACACAATAGGTGGGGATATCTAAATTACTAAATTACTGCAACTAAACCATTCGTGCTTCAAAACTCCGTGACTCCGAAACCACATTCATTCTGTTGAACAACTGCGAGAATGATTTGTCATATCCCTTGCTAGTCTATTCATAAACTTGATCAGAAAAAAATCCAATCCTTTTGAGCGAACCTGAAGTGTAACGCGAAATTAATTGAAAATATTGATCACCTTGTAGATGTTTTTCTGTGAGCTATGTAGGTTTCAAAATTAAACTCGTTATTTGTACCAATACTTCACTGAATCATTAGCTCGTTTCAGGGTTCTGGTTATAACCTCTCATTCTCTCACAGCCCGAAGATGAAGGTCTCGTCATCGGAATGATATCTGAAGGAAAAGGAGTTATTTCTCTGCAGAAGAAACCTTACAAAAAACCTGCCGCTGCCGTTGAATCGACCAAACCTGAAAACAACTCAGCAAGTGTGAAAGTGAGCTGTGAGATTATCTTTAAATTTTTTTGTTGTCATCTAGGTTTGTTATTCCTTAACATTTAATCACTTTTCTTAATTTTGGTCTGAAATTTTTGTTATTAATTATACAAGATGGCCGACTTTTCGCAGGTGTTCATGTGTTGTTAATAAAAACATAACCCTGAGCTTCATTTAAAAGGAATTATCTCTCCACTCTTATGAGCTGATGAAACTTTTTTTCCAGGTAATCAAAGACTACCAACCAATTTCCCTATCGCAACCTGACCGAATGCTGCTGCGCTCGCAGCACAGCCAAGTCCTGGATGTCGTGCTGAGGAACGTCAGCATCTCGGCGACTGTCGCTTACCTCGCTGAGCTCGTGCGGTGAGCTGCTTTTTTTTAAACATCTGAATTTAATGCGGCATTAATGTCTCTAATAAATTTTCCTTTTCATTTAATTTTCATTTGTCAATTTGGCTTTGTTTTTGAAATGAAGCAGGAGCAGCTGCTTTATCTATTTTCGTAATATTTTATAAGTTCTATATTATCATACACTTCTTTTATCTCTTTGTATCCGATTGTGAATACAAAGTTGAATAAGGCCATCTCGAAGTCCCCTGATTTTCTTACTTGTAAGAAACCTGCTCTTGCTACGTCGATTTGGCAAATTTTTTCGCAGACAATCCAAATATTTTAGATTTTTGCATGTTCAATCACTGGATTGAAGTTTTCCTGATGCGCTGCTGTGTACTCCTCAGACTTGGTGGTATCTACAGCGCATTAGCTGGTCGCAGTGAGCCTGAGTTGCGACCTCTCATCCGCTTCCTGACGAAGCATTACAGTAACCCAAGCTACAAGGCCGTACTGCACGACGTCGTCAACTTATTGCTCGGTAGGTAACAGTCTGAATAATCCTTCTTACTCAAGATGAGTTATAGTCACTGTTTTTTTGAGAGCGGCGTACGTATTTTTTTTAAATATACACCAATAATATTCTTGCTGTTCCCCACAAAAGAATTTTTTAACAATTATTGCTAGGTTAATGTGTGGCAACTTGATTTCAGGAAGATAGCGTTTAACTGTGAAGAACATAGAAGATTGGTGCTGGTGCAACCATGTAAAACACATATCCAAGGGATTAATCTATAATTGAGGTATTCAAATATCCGCGATTGTTGTTCTATAAATAATGGGTTTTTCTCGCATAAATGTCTTTATTTCAATTCTTGTGAATTTTGTACTTCTATCTACAGATTTCTACGCAAAAAAAGTTACAGCGGGATCCCCTCTCCAGGAACATATTACGCAGCTCCATGAGATGGTCAGTAAAGGAGAATCAGTGATTTTCATGCGCTAGAGTGACGATTTTTTTTTCTTAGAATTATTTTCTTTAGTCATAATGCATGTTTGCGATATTAACTTAATCTTGTTTCGATTGTTCACGCTGGTTGCCTTACGATGTGGATTTATTGGAACAATTTGAACACACGTTATATGTTGAAGTGCTTCTTAGAATTAATGTATGACTTGTTTGTTTTCTTCTCAGGTGGCTCACGACACAGCCCTCATGAGCGAGTTATTAAGTCTCGAGAGTAGCTTGACTCTGGTGAGTCTGGCAGCGGGTGACACCTATTCATGTTCTCCTGCCGTGCCTCTACTGCAGTATCAATAAATTGCTGATTCTGAGCTGGCCTTATTTCACTCCGACGAACTAACTTGCATGATAAATGAAAAGATACAAACGAAATTTACTGAATTTGTGCAATCCACGTTAGATGCCGGACCGGACTGGTTTAGCAGGCATGCTCCATTTCATTTAATCGTAGTTGATGAAATGCAAGTGAATAAACTCGTATTTTGTGATTAGTAAACTCACGTTTTCGGAATCTTCGTGACAGTCCAAAAGATTAACAAATATATTTTTAATACGTTTATTGAAACCCCCAGTTCATTTCGCCGTACATTTTTCTGGTCATTCTTGTATACTTCATTGTATGCCCTTCTTAGAAAACTACGAATCCAATGCAATCATGCGTTATGTAACGCAATTAAATGAAAACGTTTGTGCATTAATGAAAACGTTGCACAACTGCACAAATCTAAAAACATATAAAAGAGTAACATATCTTTATATAAATACGTCGATCCTCTGTAACATATCTTCATATAAATACGTCGACCCTCTGTAACATATCTTCATATAAATACGTCGATCCTCTGTAACATATTTTCATATAAATACGTCGATCCTCGACAAAAGAAAAGTCGACCTCTTCCGTCATTACGGAATGACAAAATCTATATTTCTATACAATTAACTAAAATCTTGAATACTCAAGAGATAATTTAATCTCTTTTCAATATTATTTTTACGTCCTAAAAACGAGGTACGCGTTTCAGAACAACGTATTTCCTTCTCTTAAACTAAACGTGTAAATAAGAGCTACGGCAAATATAGCGAGCGTGTTCACCTGTTTGGAGAGACTAAGACCTTCCGAGATATAAGTCATATTACCCTAAATAATATCTTTTTGATAAATAAACAGCATTGAAAATAAAAAATAAATATCTATAACATTAACACGGAAACAGAGATAGAGAAAGTTCGATGTTGAGTGGAGACGTTTAGACTTGTCCACAGTTTTATTGAGCGGCATCTTCGAACGAGCTGTCGTTGACTTCAGCGATATTTTCACGGCTGGAAGACATCATGGAGAGTCGACGTATAGGAGTGCAGATTAAGGGCGGTGCCGGCACTCGGACATCGCTTTGTGACGGCATCTTCTGAGGGCCGCTGTAAGTTCTTGGAGTCTCCACGCGGGCCTGTCGGGAAACGTGAAGTGTTTTCAACCTCATAGATTTGCATTATACGTTCTATTGATGTTTGGCTATATCGGTCATGATTACACGAAAAACTTGAGTCAACTATTCGTGAAAGAGAAAAGTGATTTGTTAGTTTTAACAATAGAAGGGGTTAAGTGCGTGAATTGACCAACGACATAATAACATATACGTCATTATAGAAAAAGTAACGTTTTATAATTGAGTAATTAAATGATGTACTTCGATGCGTGTACGGAATAGTGCAGAATGACCGAGGCATTCATCGGTAACCCTGAATAGAGCACGAACCTCAGCTACACAGTAAACTATTGGGAAATATTTACCCAAAGAATGGAAATTTACGACCTGTAACTTACCTCTCAGAGAACTTTCGCACACTGAGTTCAATTATCATTACTTAACTGAAAGGACAAGTTTGGGCTAGAGTTTATTTTCTACTTAATAATTCATAATTCACTTCAAAGAAACCTCAACACAAAAACTCGTTCTCACTTTCTTGTTGGCACGAGAATAACGATCATTCCTGGGCAGGGGAGCCACATTAGCGCTGGGACGCGGGTTGATGAGGATCCTGCCACTTGCTTGCACTTGGCTCAAAGGTTTTTCTTTCACATATCGTTCTACGTCGCTCGCAATCTGTGGTGACAGACAGCAGTTCAGAGCAAATAAGCAGGAAACTTTAATATCTGTAAACATCTTAACCGCAAAAGAAGTTTTGCATGCATGAAAATCAAAATATGGTTTACTGTTTTTACAGCTCATTACCTCACCCTGATAGACCTCACGTCCAACACAGCCACTCGTACAGGATAACACGGCCCTAGTCTGCTGGCGTCTGTGCAGCATGAATTTTGTTCTTTGGAACCCTATTTCTTCAACTTTCTAATCTTCTCCCTTATTCTGATATTTTTTAAATGCAATGAACAGAAATTTTTTCATTATAACTTCCGTAGCGACATAGTAAAGAAATTCATTTAAATAGCTTAAAATTTCGCCCTCAATAATGTGCCGCAAACGGGGACGGAGAGATATTACCCAAACTTAGAGTGCGTGGACGTGACATTATTGAGATCTCAACGTAACCCCAAACACCTCAAGCCGTAACACTCAACCAACCTCGTAAGTATCCGAGCTGTCCGACCCGATGTGGTACACAGACGCCGGCGAGTTGAAGACCACGCGCTTGCTCCTCCCATAACTTGCGCTGGAATTGTGGTCCTTCAGGATTCCCCTCTTTAGGTACGAAAACGTAGGGAGATGCGTCGACTTCTTTGCTCCGTTCTCCACGCGCTTCTGAAATGATCGCATTGGATTGTGACAACCTAGCATNTACCTGTCTCTTATACACATCTAGATGTGTATAAGAGACAGCCTCTGAAGCAGCCAGCTGCTTCCTGAGCGCCTGTGCTTCTTGGGCCGCTGCAGCGGCTCGTTCCTCCACCGTTTCCTGTTGTAATAGAGACAATATTAATTCAAATTAGAATTCATGTGGAAAATTTGCTCGTCTCTCTCCACTAGAAATATTTCGACATTACTCTGATTCGACTTAGATCGACTGCATGAGTTTGCTAAACTGTTTTTGCTCGGTTTGCAAGTGAAGATGAGCATTCATTATCACATTGAGTGCGACACGACCCACCAGCGCTGTCAGATGGCCTAAAACGGCCAAGTCCGCGGACAAAAAGGCCTATAATTAAAAAATTACTATTAGATTTGTAGGTTCCGGTGCAAAAATACAATTTCCTTTCTTCCGTACTTTTTCAACTTTAAAGAGGCATTTCTGCCATCAGAAATTTTTGTCGACAGACGCAATTGAAAAAAATTAAATCGCGGAAAACTAAATTTCACAAAATAACTGTCTTTATATTAGCTTTCAATCGTATGCCGCGAAGAAAATGTAGAAGGCTGGGCAGCATCTAAATTCGATTACACTGACAAATTTTACATATAATTACATTTTGATTTTAAGTAAATAACTTGGATCATTAACTACATTTCTACGAGGAAGGTTTTCATGGGTTCAGATATTTTCCCTGATTCATACAACCCACGTCCCACGTAGCACAGTCTTACGGCTCGTGTTGACGTCCTAACGCACCCCGAACGTCCGCTACAAAACCACTCTGAATATTATTCTGTAAGAAACTATTGGTGAAATTAACTTCTGAAAGAAACTATTGGTGAAACTTATAAAACTAACGCACCTTCTCGCTCGTAAGCTGGCTTATAGTTTCTTGAGTCTCGACCTTGAAACGTTCATGGTCTTCGATGAGCTCCTGATTACGGATCTCGGCAATGGTGTTGTCAGCCGCACGACATTCTTCTCGTAGCTGGTCTAAGCTCTTCTCTAGCTTCTCCACGTTGTGGCGAAGACGTTCGTTTTTCTTAGACTCTGACGTCAGAGATCTATTTTTTGCCTTAATCTGCATCGAAAAATAAACTTAATCTGGGAACATTATAACATTTTCGATAAAAAAAACATTTGCATGCATCTGATGAGAGAGCGACTATGTTTTTAGCGCATTTTTGCAAAAAATGCACTATTGTGCTCGCCATGTCCGTTTGTCTGTCTGTCCGTCCGTCCGTGATCTCAAGTTTTCGTCGACTAGAAAATGCGCTCTCTGTCACTCACTGCAGTGAGTACCGAGTTATATTTTATCAATACAGGTGGAAAATAAATCGGTGACGTCACCTCTTTTTCGCAGGCTCGGATGGCAGCATTTTTTTGGTCGATTTCCTTCATGAGATCTTCAATGCGTTTCACCAGCGTCTTGGAGGCCTCGGCGGTGCTGTTCAGCTCAGCTCTGAGAATGTAAAACATTTTATCTAATTTCATAGGGTGTTTTCAACATTTTTTTAAAAATATAGCGAGTAGTTTGAATTTATGAGTGCGATCAAACCACTAATGGTACAATAAAAATACTGTAAATATTTAAACGTAATTTCCCGTCTTCTTAAATCTCGACTAGTCGAAACTTATTTCTCAAGACGAAACGACACAAATGCGGTGTTTCATCTGCATTGACTGATAAGCGTCAAAATGAACGGTAACAACTTATTATGAATATTCCAATGCTTTCAGAATTTCTCGCAAGTAAGTTCTCTATTACAAACCGATTCTGCGTGTGAACGATCGTTATGATGCACCTCATCTCTCTATCTCTCTCCACTGATAAAAGTTATATTAGTTTTTCAATAATAAGTATACGTACACAGAAAAAGACGCGTATCAGCTAGAGCTGAAGCAAACGAGGTGAGGACAATAAAACGTACGTGACTTTATTAATCGTTGTCTCGCATTCATCTCGCTCGTCCTGCAGTTGACGAATGTCGGCAGCCGTCTCGGCGAGTTGCGTGTTGCGTACCCGCACCTCAGCTATCAGTCGCTCGCACTCCTGGCTCAGCTCTTGCTGTTACAACTCGTGGCTCTCTCGCGTTGTCTCACGGCTGAGTCGCAGCCGTAGTGTTGATGTTGATTTTCTTGACGTGCTCACCGGACTCGTAGCTGCATCGACAGTCTAGGTTTCTCGCGAGTCGCGACCGTCAATGTTCGAAAACAACAAACCGCCGGCCTCACGGCCGCGGCCGTTGCAAAGTCCGCTGCAGACTGTGCTCGTGACCGTGACTTTCGTAGAACCAAACCTTGGCGCCAACTTTGCGGTCCTATACCGTTAAGCCTATACCCTCGAAGTGACGCCGCGACGGTTGTGAGTTCCACAAGGTCAGCACCTTAGATACCCTCGCTCTCCCGGTCTCGAGAACAATAGCACCTTATATAATCTTTACACAGCTTCACCCCAAATTCCTGTAGCCTTCTCAACACTTTACTCTAAGTCTCTAACTTTCATAACTCAATTTACGAATTAATTCACACACAGACTGCGTTCCATAAAATATAATATAATTTCAAGTCAAAATTACCGACGCTCTAATCACCCTAGGGAAGCAGTAAATAGCAATTTACGTAATTGCACGTACGTGCCACAGTGTTGAAAGATATTTATCAAACAGGCAGCTCGTAATTTATATTTTTCACTCAAATGTTGTGCACAACGAAATAAAGAAAACTTTAAGTTAACCAGGTAAACGAATTATTGAAATTGGCGATGAAATATATGAAAACCAGCACACGCAGTTTTTTTTTCGTCAATGTTTATTGTGGGAGGTGGGTTTACTATTATTATTGTTTAAACACGAGTGGTTAATGACCAGAGAAATCATCGATTTAAATTTTCAGGATCGAACAATATTCTTCAGCTGACGTTGGTTGATAAAATTCAGGTTCAAGGAAGTAAATTAATTTATTAACGACGTTTCGAATGTGACATCATTCATTTTCAAGTTATAGGAAGCATTGAATACTGAAATTTAGGCGGAAATAAGTACATGATACACGTAAATATCTGTCTCTTATACACATCTAGATGTGTATAAGAGACAGGTTTCGGAATTATTTTCACGGTTCCAAATTTTCGTGTTGTATCATATTTACGTGTATCATGTACTTATTTCCGCCTAAATTTCAGTATTCAATGCTTCCTATAACTTGAAAATGAATGATGTCACATTCGAAACGTCGTTAATAAATTAATTTACTTCCTTGAACCTGAATTTTTATCAACCAACGTCAGCTGAAGAATATTGTTCGATCCTGAAAATTTAAATCGATGATTTCTCTGGTCATTAACCACTCGTGTTTAAACAAGCTTATTCTGCTATCTTATACTAATTTATTATTATTGTCTGCATGTACTCACTTCTCGCTCGAAGCTACAGCTCTAATTAATGATAGCGCGTCGTCTACTTCTCAAGCGTAGTGCTCCAAGAATTCAGGTTGGGAAAAATTTCCAAATCAAAATGAACAAAAAAAATCAAGTATTGTTAGCTACTTCCGATAATTCAACTTCAAAATACAAGAAGCATACAGTAGATAGAAATGTTCAAAATAATTATCGTTTGAACCTGAGTATTGAAAGTTGCATTTCAATCGAGTGGCATATTTTTCAGCAAGTTGATACTTAATGAATCGATAAACTTTCTAACAGCTTTCTTACTTAATGAACCGATTACTTTTTACTTGATGAACCGACATTCATGAGTAAGACAGTGAAAACGGGTCACAAAAGCTGGTCGCCTATTTTTTATCGGAAGTGATGCCCGTTGTAGCCAGGCACTATGCACTTTTCCTCGTACCGAGGAAAATCAGTACTCATAACGATTGAAATAACACAGGTAATGAGTGACAAGAAATTGCCTGGTCTTGTAGGGTTGCATCAGCGACAGCGTCTCCTTGCGCTGATGCTCCGCTGCTTCTGTTGCCGTCGCCAGCGCCTTTTGCGACTTCTGCAAAATATGCGAGGTACTCATACAAGACACGAGAGTCGGAAGAGAGAGTAACTTACTCCCCGCTGCTGCCCTCGGCTTCAGTTGGCTGCCTCTCAGTCACAACTTACTCCCGCAACTGTCCTTGGATTCTTTCACCTGAGCAGCGTTCTCATGCTGATCCGCGGCTTCAGTATATACTTCAGAAATTACATCACACTACATGCAGCTGCCCCTTGTCTTCAGAATATGGTCCTGACATTTCAACACAATACCTGCAGGTGCATCTCGTCTCAAGTGTTTTGTCTTGGATAGTTTGTCACATGTGAAACATCGAGCAAGGAAACTCTAGTAAGTCGTAAGGAAATCTTCCCACTTGTTTGATAAAATCTGTAGAAGAATAAGTAATTATACATCCACCAGTTTTTAAATGATTCATGATGAAACACACTACCTGGAGCTGCTCTTCGACCTCCTTGAGTTGGACCTGCTGTTGCGCCATAGCAGCTTTCGCGATCGCATTCTCCTGCTTGGCCTCGATGCTTGCCGCCCCACACTCGGCAGCCATCTGTTCAGTCTCCAGTTTCTTCTGCTTACACTGAAGTAACTCGGCAGCCTTCTGTTCACTCTCCAGGTTCTTTTGCTCACACTGAACTAACTCGGCAGCCTTCTCTTCACTCTCCAGGTTCTTCTGCTCACACTGAACTAACTCGGCAGCCTTCTGTTCACTCTCCAGGTTCTTCTTCTCACACTGAACTGACTCGGCAGCCTTCTGTTCACTCTCCAGGTTCTTCTGCTCACACTGAACTAACTCGGCAGCTTTCTGTTTAGTCTCCTGCAGGTTCTTCTGCTAACAGGGAACTAACTTGGCAGCCTTCTGTTCCCTCTTAGGTTCTTCTGCTCACAGGGAACTAACCCGGCAGCCTTCTGTTCAGTCTCCAGGTTCTTCTACTAACAGGGAACTAACTCGGCAGCCTTCTGTTCAGTCTCCAGGTTCTTCTGCGCACTGGGAAATGGAAGAGTCAGCTATATTTCTCGGCACAACTCTGTACACAACGAATTAATCCTCTGCTCAATACTGAATTTATGAAGGAACTTTAAAATTAGTAACTTCATGATGCAGAGTTATTATGATTAGGAATTTTGACCTATTTTGTACTTTTCGCAATTTTCTATCATACAAAATTTGACTGATAACATCTGAGAATCCGTGCCCTCAGTGCATTCATTTTTGTGAATTTTCACCATGGATACTAATAATGTGTGGAGAGTGTTAGCAAGTGCAAATACATGAGAATACTCAGGAATCGAGACAAATGATAATAGTAGCATTGTACTCGAGTAATGAGATGGAGGATAGTACAAGCATTATATATAATCGCCACATCAACATTACATCCAACAGAAGCAATCCTTACCGCTCTAAATGCACTACGGCTGTAGGATTATCATCGCTTATAATACTGTAATTATCATTTGAATTGTTCTATCTCCATTTGTCAGTCCCTGATTATCGACTCAAATATCAACGGATGGAACGTGCCACGAAGAATTTATTTCCATGCACAGAATAAAATCAACAAATTGGAGTACATAATTTATTTTGTTTTACATAGAAAATATTTTAATAGTTATATTCTGTTTCAGAGTTTTCTGTACGAGAGGTGAATATTAGGAATGAATCAAATTATCTCGGTCAGGTCGTGTGTGATCCCAGCTTCCAGTTGCTGCAGACGCTGAAGCTGCAGCTGCAGGTCACGCAGCTGCTGATTACTCTGCTGCAGCTGAGTCTCTGTGTTGGAGAGCTGCTGCTTGCACTCGTGCAGCTCCGTGCAAGTCACCATCACTTACTGTTCAGCTTCCTTAATTCGTTCATCCGCACCATTCATTGTGCGCTCGCCTTGATAAAAATACTCAATATTTATAAATGAAAAAACATTACCAATTTAAAACGACGTTTCTCTGTTTTCTAAGTCCCATAGATTTAACAGTACCCTTCCCATTATCTAATCCCGAGATCCCGTTAATGTTATCAAATATTTTTCCTTGTCATCCAAATTGAAGTGATGAGAGATAGAAGACACTTTCAAACCCTCATTAACTAAAAACTTCCATTTGAACACCGTTCTGAAATTGGAAGTAATTATAATTTTTTTATTTGCCTACAAATTTGGTTAGAGAATATCTCAAGTCTATCCGATTTTCGATGATATATTTGCACCCTCGTTTTCAGATGCGATATATTTATATAATTATAATATAATTCAAAAGAAACTTTAGGTTTAGCTAATATACCGACACGATAGGTACCGGTATTGCGGACACGCACCCTATAGGAGACCAACAACTAATTAACTACTTCGAATGAAAAGCGATAATAAACAGGTTTGAAAATAAACTACTTACATTTGAGAATAAACTCCTGCACTTCCTGTCGCTGTTCAGCCTCCCGCTTGCGAACAGACTCCTGTATCTTATACAGAGCAGCTTCTGTTTCTTGCTGCCGCTCTTCTAGCGCTTGTCTGTTGGCGCTGATCGAACTGCTCTGTGACGCTCTGCTGCTGCTGCAACTCAGCCATCATTATATGACCCGAGTTATGCACACTCTGCTCAAAACCAAATAAGCATTAGAGAATCAAAATTCAATGTTGAATCGTTCAACGATTCAACAAAAAATATCAACACAACATCACTGGCAATAATAAGAAATTTTGGCAATTAAAGACTAGTTTATACTTTATTAGTGACATTTTGATAGTGTGGCATCCGCGCTGAAATTAAGCCATTGCGAACGCCGCGGATTCATAACATCTTACAATTTACACCGCAAGCTGTGGGTCTCGAGCCCGCATATCACTATTTCAACCTTGCTGTGTAATCTCACCCTTATACCTTACCGATTCTGACATAATTTTTTACATTACTTACTCTAAAAGGCAAAGATAGCCTTCACATAGGGGTCATTTACAGATCACCTAACGGCTCCTCTGATAACAATAAAGTACTAAACAGCCTTTTACCGTGCATGTCATTCAGCAGGTCGCATACGTTGATCGTTGGTGACTTTAACCATCCAGAAATAGACTGGGCAGATGAATCTTCTCCAAGAGATGGGAATCACCCAGCATCC